AGCATATTTATTTTGAAAAGAATACAATACACATAAAAGTTAAAATTCATCACAGAGAAGAACTCATTGTATCGTATATCTTTTATTTTACCCCTTTAGAACTTCTAGAATAACTCCATGTATACTTGACTTAGTATCTTCTATACTATCTTACAGTATACACCGTTTTCCAACTTTTGGCATGCTGCTGTGGAATTATCCCCTGCTATTCTTTACAGTTGTCTTGTGGACATACAAGGATGGGTAGAACATGCAGCAAACATGGGGTGCTAAAGTCTTGTCTTGTTCCTATGTGTCCAGTGGTTATTACTGGGCAACACTGATCTTTTTCCTCCTGGAGGTCTTTGGTGATTTGAGCAATAAAATACACATGCTGGGTGATTTGTTTTAGAAATAGATTATCACTCTCATGTGACTCTAACTTACCCCAAATCCTTTCCATCAGCAATTATTTTGCATAATCTTGATTACTGTGTTTTTATCAAACTAGATTTAATATTAGATAATTATTGGATTTTTAAACTTATAATATTAACCAGGTGATCAAAAGTGTGTCTCAGTATTCAAAGAGTGAGATTTAGTAACTATCAAGCAACTTCCATCATTCACAATCTCCTAGATACTGTTTGTCTTAAATGGAATTTTAGAAGTCAGACCATGCCTTATGCTAATTTGGGAGAAGCCTCTTTACAAAACTTCCCAATCACTTTTTAGAAAACATTCTCCTCAGAATTGTATTCTGTCTCATTGAATAACATCTAAGTGTCCACAAGTGTCTGTAACCAAGAAACTGTCCTAGGTAGGGTAAATATCTAAAAGTTTATTTTTATCTTAGCTTGACATGTGCATTCATTTGATGCTATCTAGTTCAGATGTAACACTGCATTTGAAAATTGAATTATCTCCTATCTTCTTTGCCTCATGTAATTTTGCCAAAGTAAATTTGTAGCAAAATTATGCATTTTAAGTAATCTCTCAAATGCTTGTTGCATCCTTTAAAACGTGAACTTTTCCAACCCCAGTTGGGTTTTCAAGTTCACTTGCTGTCTTTGCAGGCTTCAATGGACAACATTGCTTCGGTTCACACATTCACTCATCATGGGTGTGGGTTTATGCCTCGTGGAGCAGACACTGTCCTATTACTGCTGTTCAAGGAAATATTCTCGTCAGTTTCCTCCTGTGAACCAAAGACTATCAGGAACTGCTATACCATAGTGGTTTCCCATGTGACTCCTGTCTCCAAATTTCATCTTTACTGTCCTCATATGGAACTCGTAGAAAACAAATACTTATTTCCACCCTTTCAGATAGTGAGGACTTGTGGAGAGGTTTCCCAAAAACGTTTCATGGAAACTTTCATTATCCCTTTTCATGCTTATTAGTTCTTAGCAGAGAGACATTTGGCAACAATAAACATGGCTAGCCTGAGGATTTATTATATTATTGCACTTCAGTTTCATTCATTTGACAAATGCATTTCACATTTGACCATACCCATTTATTTTTGTACCACATTAACTGGTGTAAGAAATTGGGTTGAAAGCAACAATAGCAATAACACAAAAGAAAAAATAGAGTAGAATAATTTATTTAAGAAAATTCTCATGAAAGAAAAGCCTAAGAACTAAAATATTATGCTTAGAAATATTATACTTTAACAATTATCAATATAGCATGCAAGGATCTTGTCCTCAAAAATGTTATTTTTTAATCTATGAAGAATAAATTAGCTGACATGGTCAGCGATTTCTCTCATGTAAAGGCAGATGAAATCTGTCTTTCTTTGGGTTGCCTCTATGCATGAAGTAGCTACATTTTCAGAGATGAAAATGTTATTCTGTAGTTCCTAATAACTGTCCTATTTAACTCTACTTATAATCACTGCACACTACTTCCTTATGCTGTCTCAGACCTTGGATAGGATCAACTGATTCAACAATATTAAGGCAACAGAAAATTATCCTGTGTCTCCTTTCTTAATAAGAGAACTTTAAATATTATTTATATTAGAGCAGTCTACTAATCATATAAGCATGGTCTTGGTAGTGCATTAACAATTAATTTAATTATACAGCTTTTGTTTCTGGACTATTCTAGGATCTGAAATGTAAATGTCACTAAGTTTGTTCAATTAATTGTCATGTACTTCAGAGATAAAATATCAGTATGTAATAAGTTTATATATTTTAATGTTCCTTCCCAATAATTTTAGACAACAATAAAGATAAAACAAATCGCAACAACAAAAAACAGACCTCCCTGCCTTTGAAGCAAGAATAAGGAGGAGCCTTGGACTAGTAACATGGACCAGTTGGTTACAGTAGGTAAAGGAACTTGGGTTCAAGTCTACTGACTGAGTTGCTCCAGACGAACATGATGGAATGAAAGAATCAGCTCTCACAAGTTATCTCGTGACCTCTACAAGAATACCCTGTATTGCATGTGCATGTGTTAATGCATACATGCATGCACACACACAGGCACACACACACACACACACACACACACACACACACACACACACATNTACCTTGGCAGAGACCAAATATAACAGTAATAGTCTTTGTGGTATCAGTGTAGCATTTTTCTATTCTTACATAAGTATAAAATAAAAACAGGAGTAAAGATCTCAGATTTTATTGTCCAGAATAGAAGTTTGACTTAGTGAGAAACATTTTTCAAATTATGCTTACACTAATTTATTTTGTGTGGGGAGTGGGAACTTGCACACATCACAGCACTCATGTGGAGGTCTGACGACAACTTGAAGGCATTGGCGCTCTCCCTCTATCTTGTGGTCCTGAGTCCGGAACTCAGGTACTCAGCCTCGGTGGCAACTGTCTTTACATATTGAACAATCTCAACAGTGATTATGAATATTGATAATATCTAAGCTTAAATTTAAATCTGGGAAAAGTAATTTTTTTAGGAAGGATTATAATTCAAATGCTTTCCATGGACAATATGAAAAAGTCAACTAGCATTTCTATTGTGAAGTTTTACACTTTTCACAAATTGTGCACATCAAAAGTAGTTGTTTTAGTAGATGGGGCTTTTACTATTAAAATAAATTTTATTATTCAATATACTAAAAATATTTAAATTTTTCTGCATACTTTCATCATCCATTTGCTTTTTAATCTGTCAAATCAAATTCTTTCATGCCATCACTGTAAACATCATACTAAAGAAATAGCATGTAATAGGAATCTATTGTCTCAAGCTATTACTTGAGGCTTCTACTATTACAACTCTGTAAAATATAGATTGCCACTCTCAGGTGTAAATTGGAAAGCATATGCAATGTGGTAAAGTATTGATTGCCCAAAGCACAATGATGGTGATAGTATAAGAATTTAGCTTTGTATGACTAGAGATTTTTTTCTTATTTCCTTCTTGCCTGCCTGCCTTCGTTCCTTCCTTCCTTCGTTCCTTCCTTCCTTCGTTCCTTCCTTCCTTCCTTCCTTCCTTCCTTCCTTCCTTCCTTCCTTCCTTCCTTCCTTCTTTTCCTTCTAGTGATAATTACTACAACTACCCAGATGATAACTTACAAAAATAAGACATTGACGAGCATTGCCCAGAGAGATAGGTTGCTGGGCTTGGTGGAGTCTTTTGAAAAACACTAGCTCGACTTCATTTTTTTTTCAAGCATCCTCACTGGTTGAAAGACCAAGCTGCAAGCTACATGTGTCAGTTATTGAATCATAAAAAATACCATTTTGGAACAGTAGAACATCTTTGTTTTAGATGTATTATTTTTGATGCATTCAGAGACAAAACAAAAGGTATTTCACATCAAAAAGAAAACTAGTTTTGAAATTCCTTTGAGATTTTCTTAGTTTTGAAAGCAAATTGGAGCTCTATTCTCTATTCCAAAATCATAATATCCACTGTGGTACGTATAATCATGAGGTAGAGAACAGAGATTTTCTAATATTTTTAAAATATCAGAATTTAGATATTTAATTTAATGTGAAATTATATTTATAATTCATAAAATCATTGATTTATACTTGATTTTCAATAAATGTTTGTTTAATGATAAAGCTTTTTTTCAATATTGTTCCTAAAATACTATGCTAAAATATTAATACTTAATATAATCCAAGCTGTGGTCTTTTGTAAAGAGAACTGTGCCCAATTTAGTTTTTATTCAAATGTTCTTTGCATATACTGTTCAAATAAAAAACATGTTATTCTATCCAAAAAGCCATAATTAATACATGAAATTATGCTCATTATCAAGGTATTACAAGTTACCAATGAATGCACCCTAACAATATGATTTGTGATAAGGATGTTTATATAGGCATTTCTCTTTTAAAATGAAATTCATACTCAGTTTATTCATTAAAGGTTTTAAGAGAGGCATTGCAGGAGGATGAGGCTTTGGAATTTTTGCCATAGTGATAGTAGAGTGTGCCCTCCGATAAACGTTGATTCTGAGTTACAGGACCAAATTAGGAGCCCAAATTCACAGCAAATATTTATATAAATCAAAATTCCATGATGCATGGCAAGGTGGTCTTGCCTGTAGTCTTCCTTCTGTGATTTACTAAGGTACCAAAGTGCAATTCACTTCACATTCCCTTTTGAATAAACAACTGAAGGATCGACTTCGTATAAGTTGGAACTACAGAAATTTGTGTCTCGTGATAGGGTTCACCTGGAATGAAATCCTCCATATGCTGAGCGATTGTCCTCAACGAATGCTTACAGATATGAGGATTTGAGCATGGCAGATACTCTTAGACACTAGAGACTCTACTGATGAATTTCTACCAAAGCTTTTACCTTCCTTAGTCAGCATACCCTGCCTCCAGTGAAGGAATAAGAAAATGTCATATACTCTCCTTCCTACCTATAATGCATTCTAGGGAATTCTCCTCTATTTGTCCATCCATCCATCCATCCATCCATCCATCCATCCATCCATGCATGCATGCATACATACATACATACATACATTCACACAGCCAATATATGTGAAAAGCCTACCATATACCAGGGTGCTTTTTCTGGAAACTAAGAAAATTTCATTAAATTCCCTGATGTGGAACATTATGGTTATGGAGGATAACTATAAATCTTTGAAACTAGTATGGCATGACTATTGTCAGTAGAATCTTTTAGCTACTCCGAGAGAAAATTTTCACAGCTATAGAGGCTAAATCCTTACAAAACTCATATTAATGTTTATTGAAATGTATCACTGAATTCTGTTCTAATATATAAAACTTTTTTATTATCACTCTTAATTGCACAACATTGTGTTAGAGAGTTGTATACAGATATTTTCATTTGGCAACAGAAAATAATGACTATAAGATAAAGTGATAAAAATATGATATTATAGCAGTAAATCTGTATTCTAAATGTGTCTTCTTTGTGTAAGGCATACAAAAGTCAACTTCTTATGTATTAATGGCTTGTAGAAATGACCTGCACACTGTATATATCTGAGATACTATCATGATTTTTGGTTTATATAACAACTCACACACACACACACACATATATATATATATATAATATTTAAGCCTTAAATTCATTCACCATAGGGTTATACAAACAGTTTAGCCTAAAATAGATACTCAAACGTGTGTACTTCATCAAATAAACAAGCATCAATATGCAACATACCAAGAATTCTTGATTTAAAATTTGAAAGTACATTATGAAAATGTGCTCATCCCATGCTATTGGGCATGATATTAACAACTGCATTTCATGCTCTTAAGATAAGAATTCTAAAATTCTGGTCAATATATTGGAGTCAGAACATAAACAGAATACTTTTCCTTCCTAACCTTAAGCCTTGAAAGCCCATAAATGATTTTCTGAAGTCTTCATTAGCTATTCATTACCAGAAGAAAAGTTGAGCTTTCTACCTGAAGACTTACCCCAAAACTAGGTTTCCTTTCCCACCCCATCTTATTTTACATTGCTTTGGTAATTGAAGGCATTTGTTTTCTGTTCTATTCTTCAATTTCCAGAGCCTCTGACCCAGAAAGACTACATTGGATTTTACTATTGGCTTCTGTTTAAAGGCTTTCTTTCCACTGCTATTTCCTTCCCAGTTGTCATTCTCAGTACAAGCGAAGCACACTGCATACCAGAGGCATTCTATTCTCAACACAGCTAGCTACATTAACTGAGTCCCTTCTGAACAATACATACTTCCATATTCAGGAAGATGAATACCTCAAGAGAAAAGTTATCACGTCATGAGAAGATCTGTGTATCCAAATGAGGACATGACTTGAGGTTTATATTTCCTATTATAGAACCATTGAGGCTAATTCTTAGCTAATTATAAAAATAAAAGGCTATCCAGAAAGCTCAGTTATGATTAGAGGTCGCCATGGTAAGTATGCAGAGACAGTGAGCAGTAATAAATGGCTTGAAAGTTTTACATTCTACTTTTTGTCATCTAAGTTATGACTTGGAGGATTCAAGTAGCTGCTTTCTCTTTTTTTGTGGGATGAATTTGTTAAGTTCTTCAATATTATTTATGTTAGTTGTCAAAGAAAACTCATCATGAAGTAATTTTCTTTTTTGTTCATTTTTGAGAAATTTTCTCCCTGTAACCTTGACTGTTCTGGCATTTGTTCTGTAGACCAAGCTGGCCTCAAACTAACAGAGATTCACCTGCCTCTGCCTCCTGAGGGCTGGGATTAAAGGCATGTGGCAAAACACAATGCAATAAAAGTAATTTTCAAAGCTTTATATTGCATTTATAGTAAAATTATTATTGGAATTCATATTAGATAATATATTAAATGAGAAAAATAGACAAAGCAAAAATGATTAATAAAATAAGATATTTTGTATAAACATTATTTAAATAAGAAACTCACTTGACACAAGGTTTTATAACAAAGAAAACTCCATTCTTTCTTTGCAAACTTTATGATGGTTCAGAAATTTAGAGAGTGACTGTGATCTGGACTTCTTTTAATGAGAAGTAAAGATGAAAAGAAATGGAAAACAAATTAATAAATTCTCTATACCAAGATACAAATGCTCGTAACAGCTGTCATAGTAAAAGAAAGGCATCTGCTTTTAGAAAGAAAAAATGCATTTTCTTTTTAGAAAAGAAATCCATTGGTGTGGATTCATTCTAAAATGATGCAAGAGGACCCAAAAGATACAACAAAAGAAGAAAACAGTAGGTCCTGTTGTTTAAGCCTTTACAATATTCTAAGTAATATGTCACATGATTTACACATTTTACTCATTTATTCATTGTAACTTGTGAGAGAAACATTCTTGCCCCCATTTTACAGATAGTAAGCGTATGCTTAGAAGCTAATTAATCATCAGTCTTATGACTTGTCTCAGATAGTAGACCTGGGATGTTAAGCCAGAATCTATCTAATCACAAAGAACACATGTAATGCTATTAGAGAAACAGGGCAGGATAGTATCTGGAAGAACCCAACGACGCACAGAGCGTTTCACAGCTGTGGCTCATAAACTACTCTCTAGATTTGGCTTACAAAGTAAAAAGAAATGTTTTAGCTTTAACAGGGTGACAAGTTTTGAGAGAGAGAGAGAAAGCTCAAGGAAAAAGCTTTCAAAGCTATAAGTGGTTGGCCCAGGGCCATGAAAGCACAGTTTGTAAAATCTTTGAAGGTTAAAGGATCTCTTTGGACTAAAAGGCAAAACCAACTTTTTTTTTTTTGTCAAGTTGCTAAGAGTAAAGGTTCGTATACATAAAGAACCAATTAGCCCATTTATCGCTGCGCTTGAGATCTGTATAATAATTCAGCTGCCATGCCTAGGTTGTAATTATATAACACTTCCTCATCACTGACTTTGACCTGAATTATTCTAAATGCTTTCTATTTGACTCCTGCAGCAATTCCATAAGAAGCACTGCCATCATCTCTTTTGGGGGGACTCGGTTATGTCTGGCATCAGAGCTCATGGTCTTTACAATTATTTTGTGCAGATGTCAGAGCAGATAAATAATTACAACTAAGTATCTTGCCCAATCACTTTGATATTTGATATAATCCTTTTCTAAAATGGCCTACCTTAAAATTTCACTTGTTAAACATATTTAAAGATTGTTAGTGTTTTCAATACAGTCAGTCATCTATCATCAACTAATTATTGTATTAGGTTGAGAAGGAAGCCTTCAGGCATTGGGCTGGATAAGAGAAGGTAAGGGGTACTCAGGTATGTTCACAACACATTTATACCGCATTGTTAAAATTAAAAAAATATAATGTAAGCATAAAAATAATCCAAATAAAATAAAGAAACACATAAATTCTATTTAATGATCTTTATATACTCTATAAACTCTAGTTCAATGTCATAGAAATGAAACACAAAGCTGTGTGTTACAGTATAGTGACTGATTTTTTGAGCCATTTAAGATTTAACCTCCTGATGGCATATAATGATCAAAGTTTCTTGTTAGTGTTGTTTCTTTCTTCCCTTTATTTTTTATTTTCAGTATGGGGATGGAATTCAGGCTGTGCTTTCTAAGCAAGTTCTCTACCAATTTACTAAACACAAGGCCTGAAGAAAAGTTTTGATACTGTGTACTGTGAGCAAACATTATTGTGCTTTTGTATTTCATTCTAGATTTTTCATTTTTAGCTACAGTGATTGAAATTGATATTAAGTGCATAATAAGGATAGCCTTGCTCATATATGTGTGTGTGTCACAAGCTGAAACCAATGTAGCTATCATATTCTCACAAGTTATGCCAGTAAATATAAAATATTCTAAAATCATACAGAGAGGCTAACCAGATTCTGTAATCAAGTAATAAAATGTAAGAATAGAAACAAATATATTCTAAATCTTAAATATGCACAAGTTAGAGCTATTGAAATAATTATTGTAAAACTAAACTAACATTTATCACAGTTAAGTTTCATATATAAAGGGATGTAAATTCTTATAATCTACTGATGATGTCCAAGTACTTGGATGAAAAGTAAGGACCCCAGAATTATTTTCATGTTTGATTTTATCTGGAAAGCAGTAAGGGGATTATTGAGTTTTTCACATGCAGCAGAATATCAATTTGTATGGATATAAGATCAGAATGAATAATGAGAAAACGAGAAAGCTGCATAAACTTCTGTGTAGACTTGAATTTCACTGTTTTGGAAAATTACCATATATAATATGAAATGAAACACTTTTTATATTAGTGTATCATGACGTATTACAGGGTATTTCAAATTGTATAGGATAAAAATTCAATGAAAACTTATAAAAACAGGGTTCACTACTATAAAATGCCACAAGATGCAGAGATTTTTCCATATTTACTTTTTTCAGAGTTCATAACTGATATATATTTTTTCAGATATAATTTTATACCTGGATATCAGGCTGTTCCACCCCTCAATTAAAAATGACAGATAATAGACATATGAGATAGGCGTGGCTACAAAGTCACCTGTCACAAACACAATCAGAATGATATTTTTCAAATTAGAATATTTTTTAAAAGCATGTCCATTCATTACTTTATCATGTATAATTCTGCTACATTTGGAATTTTTCTTTAGAAGGTAAATTTCTTTAACATATTTATTAATGACAAAGATCTAAATGCTCTGGCTTAATACACAAATTCTACTTTTAAAAGTTATCCTAAAAATCTTTAGGGAAAAAAAAAGATCAAAGAATTCAACATGATCAAGGGCATGGATGAGGGAAGAGCCTGAACTGACATAATGTAATTCAAGAAATACTGATGCTGTTAATTTTAGTAATAATTTAATTTGGTCCATATCAAAGAAGCCATGTAATGGAAGAAAAGAGGCCAAAGGCACGTCTGTGGGGAGCACTGATGGTTGGTACCCTAACCCCTATCTGTAAAAGAACGTTCGCTGGCATTAGCTTCCGTCAATTCGTCTGTGATTTTTAGATTAATTCTGAAGGAAACCATAGCTTACTTGAGGATCCCGATGAGTATCTGTGTGCCTGGCTTTTTTTGTCTTTGTTTGTAGACAAAGAACTCCCACTGGTCATGGAAAAAAGGTCTAAATCCGTGTCTTCTCTGCTTACAAGTCTTGCCTGGGAGCAACGAGAGAGAATGTATACAATCATGAAACAAAATATGGCATTTTCTGAATGCAGCTCACATTACCCCAAATAAACAAACAGGCTCTGTCAAACAACCTTCTTCAAAATGATACCACAATCCTTTATTGCTGCCCAGCCAGAACAAATGCACTATGTCAAAGGATGTTTTGCAAATAAGAGCCGATTTTAAAATTGAGGTTTGCTATTTGAGTCTGTACAGCAAAAGAAAACATTTTAGTACAGTAATTTTGATGAAAATCAATCTTAAAGGCAATGGGTGAAACTATAAACAGCTTAACCTTACTTACTGACCAAGTATATTATTTAATAGTTAATTAAATGTTAAAGATGTCATATTATATTATTTTTTAGTATTTTTTATTAAACTGGCTATAGCATTATTTTCTATCAACAATCCTTGAAATGGATTTTGCATATTTGTGGACCACTGCATCACAGACTGTACATACCCTTTCATTATAACCATTATCAGTGTGAAACATTACACATCAAATGATCTCATTTTGATATATTGTTAAATATATAGTAATTTCAAGGCATATTTATGCACCCAATGGATTATTCAGTTATCTGAAATTACTATTGTACTTTTATTACTATGGGATATTGATACTTAACATCAAAAGAATTGCTTGTCACCTATAGAATATTCTCTTACAGAATGTCTTGTATCATTAGGAATTTATCAAGACTGAGCTGTGAAGTGGAGAATATGCTGTTATGAAAACCAAAGCAGTCTCTAAGTGGATAGGATCTACCCCAAACCACTCTATAATTGGATTCCTGTGAGAGAGTATTGCCCTAAATGTTTGATGGGAGGAAAACTTAAGCACAGGGAAATAAAGGGAAGAAACCACCATTGTGGTTTAGAAAACTATCTCTGTGTAATGAGTTATATAGACTCAAGGAATCAGAATTTAAATACATTCTTTCACATTTAGATATCACCACCTTCTCTCTTCTCTCCTCCCTCTCCTCTACTTCCTTCCCCCTCCTCAACCTTCCTTGATGTCACCATCTTCCTCTCCCGTCCCCTCCTTCTCTTCTATTCCTCGTTCTCCTCATCCCTCCCTATTCCTGTCCTCTTTTCATTGAATTTCTGCTCTCTTCCTGGCTGCCCTGGAGCTCTCCAGTGATAAGACTATAAACATACACCATATCTGGTTTGTCATTTTTTTCCTTTCTTTTCCCACCTTTCCATTCTCACTCACAAATGAATACAAATATTTGTTTTTCTGAAATAAATATAATTTTTAATCTACAAAATTTGTGCACATTATGTTGTATAACACATTTGAAATTTGTATACACAATGGAATAGCTCCCCCCCCCCGCAAAAGCTATAGACATACGAATTAATGAGCAAACTTTTCTAAACTTCCATAAACAAACCTGTGGGCCATATCTCAAATTTAAACCATAAAACATAAAATAAAAATTTAAAGTGCGATTTACCAGGAACATTTGACTTCACAAAAGTGCCATCTAACAGTTTAAATTTAAATGTTCAAAGATTTTTGCTTTACTTCACAGAAGACAAAGTAGTTGGACTCTGGCAGACTTCCTCAGACACCTAGAATTTCATATATAGGCTCAATCCACGGCTTTCAGTGAATCTAGCATAGCTCATGGATTATTAATGTTTAAATTATATATCTAAAATATTGGCTTTAGCACTATTTTATCAGTTAACAGAAAAATTATAAAGGAAAAATATATCTTTTCTTCCACATGCTTGTTATCATTGAGATATGAGGCATTTCCACAAAAGGCTTATAATTGGAAGACTTTGTCTGAGCTAGTAGATCTGATTTGCATGATTGGAACATGAGATCTCACAGAGTCTGTGGATTACCCCACCGAGGAACTAAAAATCTTTTGGCATAAATGGAATATGAGGCAAAAATTGGAGGTAAGGCTAAGTAAAAAGCAATACAACACTAGAGTCCATGTCTTTTCTTGGGGCCTCTTCCTGTTTCTCTCCAGCTCTTAGCTGCTATCACCATTGTCCCAGAAACACAGATTCCAGTGACTATGGACTTATGCTTCTGTAACAGTGGATCGAAAGAAATTTTTCTTTAATGGAGTTTTTTTTTTATGTATTTGCCACAGTGACAAAAAATCAGACTGAATATGCAAATATACTTATTCAGTAATTCCTTTGAATCCCTTGATTCCAGGACCATGTTGACTACTGAGGATGGCAAGTCATATATGTCAAAAGATGCAGTGTTTACATGGAACTTAGACAATCCATCCCTATTACTTAAATCATTTATCCCTTACAAATAACAACTAACGCAATATAAATTCCATGTGGGTAGACGTCCTAGTGCATTGCATAGAAGAAAATAAGAAATACATATTTACAGGTTTACTACACAGGGTATTTTTCCAAATACCTCATTCTTATATTAAGTCCATCAGGAGGGGTTCAATGAAGACAAAAGGATAACTATCCTTCAAATAATATAAGTAAGCACAAATTTAATATTTACATTACAGAAATATATGAATAGTGGGACCGGTAGACTCAATTAAGATAAGAGTATTCTAAATGGAGTACAATATCATCAATTATTTACCAAATGGTAACTTTGAAAAGAGTTTTTTAAGGTTTTGTTTTCTGGACATTTTCTTTTGCCGTTCACCTATGCAGTCGTAAAGCCCAACTGCATCTCACTAAAAGGAAGAGAATTTGGAACAGAAATCTATAAATACTTAGAGTTTGATCTATCTACAACTACCACAACTTAATTAACGATAAAGCTTTACATAAATTAGTAAGGAACATGGACCAATGTTTAATCAATATGATGTTATGAAATATTTACATGCTTTGTAATTTTTAAGTGAAGTCATAATAATAACCTACTTTAAAATTTTAATTGTTTCTCAGTGTGCATGTTTTGCCTATGTATGTCTGAGTATTATTTATGTGCTGACATTGGAGGGGCCAGAAAGAGTGTTGGCTCTCCTGAAACTGAAGTTACAGATGGGGTGAGACTCAATATGGGTTATGGAAAATGAACTCAGGTTTTCTGAAAGAGCAACCAATGAGTTTAAACACTGGACCATGTCTCTAGTCTCCTATTATCATACTTAAAAAACATACCCTGTTATATCTTGATCAGGATTTAAAGGTAATTTCTGTTTTGGTTGTTGTTTCATTACTCTTCATTACATTGCAATAACTTCCATTGCAATCAAGTCTAAAAACTGCTTCATTATTCCAAAGAAGGACGTTTATGCTCCTGCACCCTTAGGCTAAGCAACTACTGATATGCTCTCTATTGAGTCAGCACTATGATTTTTCAGAATGTGAAATGATTGACACTTACAATATTTTACAATAATATGGGTAAACTCTATTTAATATCATGTTATGTGTGCATGTTAATAGTTTCTTGCTTATTACCATGCATTGATTGCATTTTACATCCACTTCACCTTTCTTCCACTGTTATATTTTCACGCACTAAGTGGACTTTGGTTGCGTTAAGTTTTGCAGCTATTATGAACAAAACTATTCTAAAAATATTGTATAATATTTAAAATGAATGTGTGTTAAAATTCTCTGAGAATTTTAAATATTGAGTATCTATTTTAATTATATCCAACCTCCCTTGTACTATTTTTTTAATGAATGTTCATTACTTTAGGAAAAATGTTTAGTAGCTCATCTGTTGCATATATGTTTCTAAATTTTCTTCATTAAAGTTTTTTAATTAAAAATAATCAAAATATAATTACACTTCCCCCTCTACACTTTTCTGTTTATAACCACTCCATACCACCCCGACTAATCGCTCTTCAAATTGATGGCCTCTTTTTTGTTGTTATTGTTACATATATGACATTATTATATTGTTAGATATATTTACATGTAAATACATAACTACCGTCTGTTGAGTTGTTCAATCTTGTTTGTGTGCATTTGATTTCAGGGCTGACCAGTTGTTATTGGATAATCAATTCGGGGGATCATCCCTGGAAGAGACAGAACCTCCTTCTATCAGTGGTCATTAGTTGTCTGTATTTGCTTAGGGGTGCATAATGTGCAATTTCCCCCTCCTACATCAGCGTGAGTCACAGCATGCCCAGCAGGCCAAGATATCACTACAGGTTCGAGAGTGGCTTTCATAGCGTGGTGGTAAAGCAAGAGCTGTCTAATTAGACTTAACGTACATTCAGTAGGAAGGGAATCACATCTGGAACTAAAAACCTAATGAACGTCCTGGGACACATAAGATCACAGAGTAGAAACTACTACCACTATGTTACTAGATCAGCAGAATTCTAAACTGTATTGCAAAACTTATCCTTACACCCACAGATAAATGTAGTTCTCACCCTATTCAAGACAGACAAAACAAAACCTCACTTTGCAGCAAATGGTCCACTACAGAAAATCACAGCTGATCATAATTCAGTGGTTAAGTCGCCATGGTGAGCTCAGCAGGGATGGATGCATCTACAATAAAACTCCTAAACCTAAGCCTCTGTAAACATCATGGAAGAGGGTATAGGAGTATTACAACAGCAGAGGAACAGGATGTCTTCTGTACAATTATGTATCCTAGAAACAACAGAGGACTTACACAAAATACCGCAATAATATGGTTACCTAGCAACTCTTGAATGATTACAATACCAACCAGTATGCTAACATGGAAGGGGTGATGTCATAGACAACATATTCTCAAATTTTAAAATCTGAATAATTTATAACCTGAAACATGGTTATTCTCTGGAAAACCCCAGAATTTGCTTCATTTATCAATTTAATTCAATTATCAACATACTTTTATATATTGTTAACATATTTTCTTATATATTTTACACTATAAATATTTTACAATATTATAAAATGATATCTTCTATTTTTCTCAGTTGCTTTGCCCTTGCTCCTTTACATGCAGAAATTAAATTTGATTATAGCCTTGTGCTATAATACTGAAGTATAATAAGAGGTATAAAAATGGTTTTATCTACATTATTAATAATTTGTTGCCATTTAATGTTTTTTTCCTTCCTTCCTATTGGCCGCATGTGGTCATTGCCAGGCAGTGATAGCACACGCCTTTAATCCCAGCACTCAGGAGGCAGAGGCAGGTGGATCTCAGTGAGTTTGAGGCCAGCCTGGTCTACAAAGCAAGTTTCAAGGCAGCCAGGAAGGTTACACAGAGAATTTCTGCGCTCCGCCCAAAAAAAAAGGAAGGAAAAAGAGTGACCATTAATAAACTTGTGCAAAAATATAGTCAAATATATATATATATATATATATATATATATATATATATATATATATAACAGACTGATGTTCTAAAATTCCTAGGATAATATGCATGACACCCTCACAGAGGAATTTTATTAGAATATAGGAAAATATTTAATGAGTAATAATTTTTTTGTCTTGTTTTTTCGAGACAGCGTTTCTCTGTGGCTTTGGAGCCTGTCCTGGAACTAGCTAGGTAGACCAGGCTGGTCTCGAACTCACAGAGATCCGCCTGCCTCTGCCTCCCGAGTGCTGGGATTAAAGGCGTGCGCCACTGTTGCCCGGCAATGAGTAATAATTTTAAATAGGGACATAAAGTTATCTTGCCCTTTTATTCTATCTAAATGCACATATTTATGTATACAAATATATACTACACACCACACACACACACACATAAATTATTGCTCAAATTCAGGAAAGTCTTTGGAAAAAGTGTTCAAGAAAATGGCATGGAAGTGCTCTTACAGCCATAATATTATTTTTATCTTAAAGAAAAGTAACTTTGGTTGTTAAATTCTCACTGGAAAACAAAATAATAATCCATTTTCTTGGTCTATGTAGAATCTGAGCTAGGGAGATTTGTTAGTCTTTTATAAAGGGAGGTGTTCTCCACTGTAATCAGTCACGATTCCCTCCTCCAAACTTCTGAGACAACACTGAAAAGTTTCCTTTTTATGAGATCTACTTTTCTAGATCCCAATGTTGGCCATAGTCCTCTATTTACAAAGTCTTTCTTCAAGTAGCTTACAGCAAAGTGAATTTAACAAGCATATGCCTTCCATTTTCTAGACGACACTCTTATTGAGATGATTAGAATGTGGCCTTAAAGCTCAAATAATACTTACCAGAGTACCATTGCACTCCATAAAACTTGGAGGGGTTAAGCTGCTAATCACTTGTTACTTTTAATACAGTTTGATTTTCCAAGCTGGAAACTCATATTGCTGTTTCTTTCAATTGTAATCTTTATATTTGGCTCTTAAAATTTTCAAGAAAATAATCTCATTAAACAATTTCCCATCCAGAGTAATTTTGTTTTAAAATGGTAACAGGTTAATATTTTTACATCTGTCAAATAAAATTATTATTTTAAACAATGTCATATTGTAACATTATATTTTAAGTCAAGAAAATATGTTATTATTTTAGCACACGGCATTTGAGGTTTCCCCAAAATAGATACAGTTGTGATATTCCATAGTTTAAACATATTATGAGTATATTTTAAAGTGTTACTTATTGAGTATGTGTGTCTATAACATTTTTCTCTAACTTTAAACATATTTCTTACCACAAGTTGAACTCTTCCACCATTGAGTACATCTGGATCTAACTCAGGCAAGAAGTGATTGCTTCATGGTGGCAAGAAAGGAAAGAAAGTTACAGTATAAATATAGAGAAAAAATATTAAAAAATGCCCAAACATCTTTATACACAAAATAGAGACAACAGCTTTAATCTATGTTACATATAATAAATGCACATATCATATATATATGATTCAACTGTTATATATTAAGTTTCACAAAAATTAATATCTAAATAATACTTCAATAGTAATCTCTTTTTAAAATATAAATGTTAATGAGCAAACATCTGAAAGAGCTAACAGTGATATTTAATAAATTATAGAAAATCTAAGTGTATTTTAATGACATTTACTTAGTTTGTCCCCATTTTTCTTTAGCTTTTTGAGACAGTGTTCCACGCAGTCCAGGCTTGACTTGAACTCACCATGTAGTCAAAGGCAAGCCGAAACTTGCCACTTTATCTCCACCTCCAAGGACTGGGCTTACAATCCTGAATCATCACTTGTTTTTACTGTCTTAAACTTTTCTTTGAAGCAAGCGAAGTTTTCTACTTTAGTGTTCTACTATGTTTGATGCACCCTACAAATATTCACAGTGCAGTTTAATTTTACTCTGGTAAAATATTCTGATATCAACCCTTTTCTTTAAATTTTTGTCTTTGGGAGCTATAGAGATGGTTCAATAATGAGAATTTAAGGCATGGTGCTCTGTGCTTAGAATCAAAGAACTGTGGGTTGGGGGGTGGAGAGAAAAACATATCCATAGAGTTTGCTGGGAAGCCAACCTAGCCTAAATCAGTGATTCCCAGATATGGCTTCAGACTTCAAAATAACATACACACTTGCATTTACACACATATACATGCACTTCCCCCAAAATCTACACACACACACACACACACACACACACACACACACACACACAGAGGTTTTCTACATATAATTTTTTGGAATATATTTCAAAATAATATTTTATATCTAGTTAATAAAAAATCTGAGGGATTGATTGATTGTTTCATCTACTAGATACAGATTTTATTACCAGTAAGTGGTAATATTAAAAGTTTAGGCATTTAAAATTTACCTTAAAATATTTTTTATATTTTCCACTGCATCACATCTATATTAACACTTTAACTTTGAAACAAAATCTCTCATATCTAGTTAACAGAGATAACTAATAGACTTTGTTGCATTTGTTATAATTATAAAGATGATATTCCTATGAATTCAGTTAACCTGATTAATGTGAACGTGAAATAAATGTATGGTTTCTATAGTTATAATACTTCATATTAAAACCTGAGAATTATCAATGTCTTTATTTCATTCTTTGATCACAGTAAATATGTCAAATAGCAAAATACTTCTATTTTAAGTTTTGTTTTCATATGATGTCCACGTTTTGTAAGAAGTTAAATGGGCTGAAGTCCTCCAATATGAACGTTCACGTCACATATAACATCGTAAAACTTTAATCCACAAACGTAGCTGTCAATTTCACAAGTGACTAATTTTTAAAACAAATCTATATACTGACATGACCGACAGTTACAAGATACCACACGTTTTCTTGATGAAGTAGAGGAGACTGCGGGATTCGTGTGTTGGTTTTAAGCATAACAGAGTAAAGCTCTTCCCAAACACTTTTGGTGAGAACTGTAAAGAACAATTAAATCCACGCTGTATGAAAGCCTCTGGCGATGTGATGTATTGGCTTTTGGCTAAGAAGTTGTATTTGTTTTAGCACAATTAACCCAGGTTTCACTTTTCAAGATTTGTTTACGATACAAAAATCTAATTTGAAGGAAATGACCTCACCATTTCAGGGTTCTGGAACTAGTTGTTTCTGGAAAGCCTGCTTGTGTATGAAGCCACTGGTAGGTGTACTCCTTACTCTTTTCTAACTTTTCATCCACAGTGGTTGGCTTGGAGAGGGCATCTTCCTCTTCGCCTTGGGAAGAAATGTGTAACATTCAAAGAATTAAAACCAGGGCAGGTAGCTGAGATGATGCTAGGAATTTCACTATAATGAAAGAGTTTTGACAAAGCGTGGTGACTAATAAATGGCAGTTATTAGGAGTTAAACATCTCCCATTTCAGTCTCAATTGCATCTACTTTGAAGAATAAAGGAAAAAAATTAATTCAGTTACCATTGTTTAAAAATAGCATCCATTAGAAAACTCGATTGTTTCAGAGAGACAATAGACCTTTCTTATATGAACAGCCTTGTTTTTAGACTTATTGTAAGACCCAAATGTCCTTATACCATCCTCATATACAATAGAATTTATAGATTATAGCAAAGGTATTTAAAACAGACTTTTGATTTTACAGAATTAGCTTTGTGTAAGCTATTATTTTCAATTATCAATAGTTTATACTAACTATTCAAAACAATGAATTTCATTGTGAAATAGAGGTAGAGGAGGGAGCTGATTCTCAAAAGTTATTCGCTGACCTTCACAGACCACATGCTGTGGCATAGGTGAGCTCACATTCAACACATACCCCAAAGAAAGTGTAAAAGTACACAGCATGCTGAAAGCAATATTGATGTTAAATTACACAAATCTCTGTCTCTGTTTCTCTCTCTCGGTGTGTGTTTGTGTGTGTGTGTATGTGGTGTGTTTAGAAAACCATGCAAACATTGCTGCCGTGTGAGTGTCACACATTATTCGTATGACACCATTGCTTTCCACCATTGTTTAGCTTCGTGGGCTTGCTCCTTCACACTGCTTCTTTTGTGGATCCCTCTCATAAATGTTAAGGGCTTGCTGGCTTTGTAAGTTTGGTCGACTGCATGTTTCTAAAGTTAGTTCATGGCAACTATGCACACAAGTCCATAAAACTTTAAAATCTGATGGTTAAAAACGCCAACTTTTCCAGGTGCAGCAGTAAACACAGCCTTTGAATGTGCTGACTCTCTGAATATGGAGGACAATGAGGGCTGCTGAGAAGCCAAGGACAATGGCACTGGGTTTTGTTCCTACTTCATGTTCTGGCTTTGTGGGAGCCTAGCCAGTTTGGATGTTCACCTTCCTAGACCAGGATGGAGCGGGGAGGACTTTGGACTTTCCACAGGGCAGGGAACCCTGACTGCCCTTCAGACT